CTTTTGAGTTAGTACGTTAATTTGCAACAGTGAGAAACACTTTTACTGCCCACATTCAGTCTACTGAATGGTACATAAGAATGGCACACATCGTTTCAAATAATACATATTTTTAATTTAGGTGGTAAGCAGACATCAGTTCACTGAGTAGTCTCAGCACTGCTTGGGGAAGTCCACAAAATAATAATCCCAATAAAGTTCATAGCACCTACAGTTCTTAAATAGTTTTTAAGGGAGTTACGGTCAAGCCTTTGCAGAAGAGGATTGACAGTTTATGTAAATATTACAGGAATATTAAAAAAATCAAGAGCGGGAAAATGAACAAGTAAATTGAACACATTCCTAGTCAATAGTACTGTATATATTTACAACTGTAGCTGATATATTTACAAGCTCAATGGATTTCCAGTGGGTTCCTGCACACGCCTGATACCTCCCATTGGACAGAAACGCTAATAAAGAAGTGAAAAGAATACTCCTAGAAACTACAACTTCTTAATTTACTTTTCTGTCCATTAAGTTTTCAGCATTTGAGGTAAATAGCTTCTTTTTCCCTTTTAATTCCAAATTACAGAATTTAGAAGAGCTTTGAATGAACCCAAGCTGAAAAATTATCTTCCACAAAAAATCCCCAAGTTTTTAAAACTAAATATTCAATCAAGACATTTACCAAGTTTTGCTATTAAAAGAAATAAATGCACACCCGCATTGTGGGCCAATTACAGTTTCTAAAGCTAAGTCTTGCATGCACGTGAACTTGCTAATATTATTTTTATGGTATATTTTGATACAAAATCCTGTTAAAAGTACAGGGCCTTTGGTACTTGATGGTCTTCATCTATACTGCCCAATTCCAACATGTTTGATTGGGACAATGGAAAAACTTTAAACATCAAACACTGATTGCCTCATAAATCAGTCATTATGATACATGTTCCACTGTGTCCAGTTATGAACAAGTTTACACTGAAAAAAACAAACAAAAAAATTAATCCCTGAAAGGAATATTAAGGTCAGATACTCAGCAGTGAGAGACTGTTCCAAATTTGGTTTCACTCTATGTCAGAATTTAGTACAGAGACAGTGACTCAGAGCTGACTATCCACGATAACTAATCTTAGTTCACTATAAATTCGAAGTTTGCAAACAGATATAAAACTGTTTCCATTCTGAACAATGAATTCCCAGCTCTTCATAAACTCTCATCAACAATTTCATGTGAATCCTGATAAAGAAAAGTTAATTACCTGATAAATGCTGTCATCATAAATATAATTCCATACTAGACTCAAAATTTAAAGATGAAAAAATTATTTAAATGTTATTTAAGCAGCAAGTAATACTCATGTTTTATATGAGTGACTCGCCTTAATTGAAGGAGTTTTTAGATTTGCCTAGGATAAAATACTCCTGGCAAATATGAAATATAATGTGAAAATAATATATAACAATGAGTAAAAAGCCCTATGAAAAAATAATGAATTTTAGAATGAAACCATACATTTCTTAGAAACCTTTAAGTGCTTGTAATGCCCAGGGTTTTCACTAGGGACTGTGAGTAAAGCAAACACACACAAGACATGGTTTCTACAAGCAAAGAGTTTACAGTAGAATTAAGTGGTTCCTAAGTTCAGCGATGTTTTACCCGAATATCTTTGAGTCCTAATTCCCAAATTCTGATTCTGTTGTTGCAGGAAGACAAGGCCCAACAGAGAGAAAGAGCGCCCAAACACCACGTTTATAAGAGGAAGGGCTTTATTTACTGGCCGGGAGATTACGGCATTGAAGATTTCCAAATGGCCGCACTCCCTGACTGGCTTGGTCTTTCCCTTTTTATTGACAGTCAAAAAGTTCCATCCCACAGGTACCCCTCTCATTGGCTTTGAATGTGTTTGGAGTTTGAATCAAGAGGGAGATGCTATTCCAGCCCCTACAGAACTACAGGATTTCACAGAACTTGGAAATTTCCAAGTTCCAAATTTCCAAGAGCTGAGTCACCATGGAGAGGACCTTGCAAGTGTAACTTTGTGGTCTCCTTGAGAAGCCCTGTTCTCTTAGACCTCACCCTTCTCGGGTATCCTCTCTCACTATAAGTCTGGAGTAGAGGCTGGGGATGCACATTCTGATGCAGAGCCAGAAGTCCAAACTTTGAGAAGCAATGGTCTTTGGAAGTAAAGGAATAGATTGTATAACAGGTCAAATAACTGCCTAATACTTTGATTTAGAATCCATTTAATCCTCATCTATATTGCCTTTTAATACCAAGAAGATCCAATTCAAACTCCCAATTACAAAGACCTAGACCTTAAATTCAAGCAGCTGTATAACAAGTACATATTGCCACTTTAATTATGTATCTCAGTTCTACTAATTAAATTCCTGCTTCATTCTTGTGACTAAGCTATCACATTGAATACTGGTGAACATGGTGATAATGAGTCCTCTGCCTTGTTCCTGAACCTCTCTCATTTACTTCAGAATTATTGTCCTGCATTTTATTTCCCAGTTCTCTAAGACTCTCGTCCAATAATGAAGACCATTTTACCTGGTACCAGACCACCTGCCTAGATTCAAAACATTTTCTACTCTCAGACTTCATAGCAAAGATAGGCTGCCCACCCACTGGGAAGAACCTGTTATTCTTTGGTGGACCTTTCTGACAGTTTGCCTGGTCTTAAAAATTCTTGAGTGATACTCTACTACTTCCTCAAACTTATGAAGTATCAGAATAAGCTGGAGTAATGCTTAAATGTATGGATTCCTGGGCTTCATGCCTTGAGGCTATGATGCAGCAAGTCTGGAGTGAAATCCAGGAGTCTGCAGTTTTAAAGATTCATATGCCTTTGATGGTTTTAATAAGGAAGTCACATTTATCTGATTCTAGGAATGAACACGATTTTGTATGACACAGAAAGGAAAAAGAAGAATATAGCTAAAAGAAACAAAGCAAGTAAAAAATATTGAAAATGTTTAAAGAAAAAAACATGTCAATTTTTACTCAATGGCAGGTGCTAATAAATGTTTTTCTGAGTTGAATAAAGGAAATCTATCTTGCTAAATAATAGAAGTTTGGCCAGAGGAGTCACTTCTATGAGAAGATGCAATGGAAGGACATGAGAATAAAGAGCTACAAGAAACAGGATTCCAATTAGAGGTGCATTACAGGGTCTATTTTATCTCCAGTGAGAGTAAGTAAAACATCTGGAGTATTCTGAAGCATCTCCTACACATTATGCCTTACATTATCACCTCTAGGCTTCAGATCTCCAAATATACATTTCTAATCTTTACTTTCCAGGTAATAAACTTCAACTGCCAATTCACACATGGACTAAATTTTATGTTAGAACCAACTTAATTAAAGTGAGCAGGTGGAAAGATGAGACGAAAGCTGTGTTGTTGAAAAGGCTAGTTAGGATGTTAGTATCAGAATCAGCAAGAGCATGAGAAAGACAGTAGAATGGATAGCAGGGAGGTGGTTAATAGGTTCAAAAATATAGTTAGATAGAATGAACAGTATCTCATACCACAACAATGTGACTATAATCAACAATGATTTAGGGCATGCTTTAACTAAAAGAGTGGAATTGAAATGTTCCTAACACAAAGAAATGATTAATGCTTGAGGTGATGGATACCCCAATTACCCTGATTTGATGAATTCACATTGTATGCCTATATCGAAACAACATATATATGCTATAAATTTATACAACCATTAAGTATCCATAATAATTAAGTAAAAAGTTAAAAAATAAGTAATAAGATCAAATATGGATGATAGAGGAAAAAGACTATATACAGAAAGAAAGCAAAATTTTCCTATGGTACAGGGAGTATAAACATGTTTCCTATAAAGCATAAACAAGGAATACATAGATTAGAGAGCAGCTATGGAAAAGGAATTTATCTGATCAAAGCAGAACTATTTCTGTTTTTTTCTAGCAATATTCAGCAGCCAGCATCTTGGGGAAAAACAACAGTGATGTTAGATTCCTAACATCAGAGTTAGGAATCTTCCTGGACAATGAATAACAATGGCTTGGTATGGAATCAAGGGAGCAAGAGATGGTGCTGAAATGCCATCATTCAGCCTAGAAAGGGGAACACTGTAGTCCAAAGAGAGGTTACACTGGGAGGGTCAGAAGGAAGGATGCTGAGTTTGGGGCTGAAATCAGAGAGAAGGAAGACTTTGTCTTGAAGTTCTGGGTTTACAGCCTCAAGGACAGAAACATACAGTAAAATTAAGTGAGGCAGATTTCAAAAGGGAAGAAGGGCTGAAAGATGATTCCAAGATAAAAAAATCTGGATGTGCTAGAGGTTAATAATTATGCCAATATCCACAGTTCCCATTAGGCCACACATCCAGGGAAGTCATGTTATCAAGAAATAATCGGGTATTAATTTATATAAGTGGGTAGAACAGGGAGAAAGGAAAAGGATGAAGGAGATTATGACATAGCATAATGTCATAGTGGAGCAACTTACAGAGAGTGAGGAATTCTTTTGCTGACTCGAGTCTAGTGACCCAGGTAAGTTTATTCAAATAACATGAAAGGTAAAGACTAGGGTGCAAGGGAAGAAAATGAATGAAAAGGAGGCTGATAGTGCGACCTCTAGAGTCCAGGAAAGCATTCATAAAAACAATAAAGAAAAAAATACAGACCGAAAGGACTGCACGTTTGTTCCTTCCTTTAAATTATGATAAAGCAAAATTCAATAAGTGGGGTATTTTTAACATTTGTGGAAACACAGTAAAGCAGATATTCTCTTTTTTTTTTCCTCCTTTCAATCTCTCAATTTTGTGGGGGAAAAAATCACAGCTGGTACTCAGGAGTTAAAAGAGTATGGTGTCATTATTAATATGTCTTGTATCTTTAGAGACATGTACTATAAAGATGACTCATTGTTTCAACAACTGTATGACACAATCCACAGTTAGATACATGTTTGATGTTAGTTGGTTGTTTCAGGTTAGTTACCTGTTTCTCATTAGTTACCTGCTTCGGGTAGTGTGCTGCTGTGGCACACGCTTTCATCCCCGTGACCAGCTGAGGTTGAAGCTCGCACTTTAAAGACGTATGAGGTATTGGCAAGGAGCTTTGTGAAAATGTACATGTGATCTTGGGGAGAGACTTTTGTAGAATTCCTTTCAAGTGTTATCATATAATGAGTAATTATTCCATTTGCCTTTTTGGGTGGATTCCATTTCACTAAAACTGACTGCCAGCTAGTTGCCAAACACTGTATATTCTGCACAGCATCTGGAACTTAAGAGATAAACATATGCCCAAAGTTAAAATGTATATACATACAGTAGTAGAGAAAATGATTGAAATATGTGGTTACTAGGTAAAGTCATGTTTAAGAATAGAGATGAAATATAAATTTAATATATCAACTTTTCAATGTGTTCTTACCATACACTCACTCAGATGGCCATTTTTTTATGCTATCTCATTAATCCTTGCAATATTGAAGGAGATTAATGTATAGGATAACGTTTATTGTTACAGTAAGAAAACAATGGTAGCAGGAAATTAGCATGTAGTCAATTAGTGGATTAGAAATAATGGACATCACCAAAAAAGTAACTTGCTACCATTATGGGAAACAGAGAGACTTCAAGTATATTCGAGTCACCTCTGACTGGCCTGCAATTCTCTCCCTTGGTCTAAATTGATTTCTTGTAACCCTTTCTTCTTCTATAAAATAAAGGCATCAACTAAGGGAAAACACTTCGGGAATGTGTAAAATTAAAGAAAAGATAATTTATGTGCTGACCAAGGAATCTGGAAATTAAATATCATCAACTATTCACCTCCATATTTTCAAAAACACGTAACAATTATTTTCATAAAATAACACAAGACAGTTGACGATTTGCTTAAATTTAGTTTATGAACCGGGACCTTGTGGACATCTACTTCCCTAACTCTGTGAACCTCAAAATAATTAACCAGTGGTTATTATAGCCCTTATGATAAATATTTTATTTTATTTAACCAATCAGAGCATAGAATTTTATGGAACAATTTTATCTTACGGATAAAAATATTTGTTGGTCTACAGGGTGCTTTCTACAAGATTAGTCTTCATTTTTTATTAACCCTATATGTAAATATCTTTAAAATGCTTTTTCTTTATGGGTTGAATATTTTCACACACTGTCACTCATGTGCAACATGCATTTTCTATAACCGTGCACACTCTCCACTTGATGCCAGAAGGCTGACATTCTAGTCAGCCCTTCACCCATTTTCTCATGGTCCTTTTCATCTAATCTGCCTGAGCCATGGTGTCTTCATCTGTAACATGGGAATGTCGGCAACAGAAACATTTAAGGAGCATCTACTCTGCATTCAACACTCTACTACGTGCTTTATACACATTGGAGCCTTTTTGAATACTTTTGACAACAGCTTTTGAGATGGCTACTGCTCTGCGCTTTTTTCTGTTAAGGAAAAGTAGGCTTAAGGAAGTCATAGGCCTTTGCCAAGATCATACAAGTAGTAAGTCATGGAGCTTGGATTCAAATCTAGACCCTGACTTTGTACTTTACCCATTATAAATTTATTTATTTGGCCTGTGTGAGAGGCACACTATGTAGAAAATGTTTTGGATATGCAAAAACGACTGTTAGCAGTGAGTAGTCACTGATCTCAATTTAGAAACTCACTAAAACAACAGGAAGTGCATCCAGATGGGCCTAGAAGAAATCACTAGAACAGAATCTTGTGCTCATTCAATAAACATTGACAAAAAAGAATAAATAAGGAAAATGTGTCCTTCAGTGATTGGCCCAGGCTGTACACGGTGGCTCACATCTGTAATCCTAGCACTCTGGGAGGCCAAGGTGGGAGATGGCTTGAGCGCAGGTTGAGCAAAAGCAAGACCTCATCTCTACTAAAGATAGTAAATTAGCCAGGTATTGTGGTGGGCACCTATAGTCCCAGCTACTCAGAAGGCTGAGGTGAGAGGATCACTTGAACTCAGGACTTTGAGTTTGCTGTGAGGTAGGCTGAGGCCACCATAACATCCTAGCCTGGTCAATAGGAAACTCTGTCTCAGAAAAAAAAATAATAAATGGCCCAGTTAAAATAAAGAAAAGTACATGTCTCATTTCTAAGCCACTAATAAATATGTCATCAATAGAAAATATTCAATGTACACACAAAGGCAAAACATGGAGCTGGTATGTGAACGTTCATGTTACAAGTAGGTAAACTGCTGATGAATCAGGCCCAGTGCCTGTCACAGTGCCGTTCACATCTTAACACGGGACTATGGAAGGAGAGGGCTCATGTAGGGACTCACGCTCTTCAAATGTCACAACTCATCTTCCCAAAGAAAATTACAGATATTGCTTTATACCTAAATCAATCTGTTAAAAGTGATCTAGTTAATTACCCCTCTCTTCCTCCAGATGTCTCAAATAGTCCTAAGAATTAGGTAATTTTCACAGATATCTAAAAGGCTACTTTATTTCAACTTCCTCAGTTCAAAAGGAAAAATCACATGTAAATATATATGTAGAAACACACAAACAGTACATTATTTCAGACAAGCCCCAGCCTGACCTTGAAGTCCTGAAATTCAGCTTTCTTTTCAGTGGACTAAGTGGTCCACTATTTAGTAATAATGATACTTCATGACATAAACTGAGAAGAGGAAGGTAAATGTGTTAAACATAAGGGAAATATTTTAGGTTCAAAAACTTTGTCTAACCTGACTCTTGGGTTGTGAATTTCACTACGTTACTAAACTGATCGCCATTCCCGACTTTGGTAAAGGCGGACACGCTGATAGAATAGGTGCTTACTGGTTCCAGCCCAACGAGTTTGGCCTCAGTTTGAAAACCTGAAATATTCTGAAAAGTAGAGAAAAAATTCTTAGTTGACATTGGAAGATCTATGTTAATACATAAAAAAAAATTGGTTGACATTGGAAGACCTATTTTCATACATCAAAGCTATTCCATCTCATATTTAACCTATGTTTAACAAGCATAGTTTTAATTACAATATGACAAATATTAACATGTGTTTTATTCCATAGAGTATGCCCAGCATTGGAGAGAAGGGTGAACTGGGGAACTTCTTTGCCCTGAAAAATCTCATAATTGCCATATTTTTTAAACTAAAGTATTATGTTTTCATTTTGTTTCCTGATTTTTACTTGGAATTATGTAACCATTTCTTTTAAATTTGCTAAAATTAAAGTCCCCAATTCAAATTCAACTTATGGGTGGACAGAGATACTTGATTTTTCTTGAATTGATCTAAATTCATCTTTTAATACCCACCACACTCATGTAAATTAATTTATTCTTCGGCTATTGTATGTAGGCACTGGGAACATAAGGGGAAGTAAAAAAAAAACAAAAAACTCTGCTTCCATGAACCTAAAATTGGGAGATTTTTCTAGCCGACTCCTAACTTTCTAAGTTGACACAATGAGAAATGAGAAAAGAACAAAAGAGTATCACAGTTGTTCAAGGAAGAATGTGCTTTCTCACAGAAAATTCTACCATTAAATATAAAATCTTCATTCAAATATAATTGTTCTAACCAAAGAGCAGTGAAGATTGATGAATTATCATTATGGAAAGAGAAGAAAGCCCCCTGTGTGGTGTAAGTTTAAGAATATTACATTACATTTGACAAAATGTAAGTAATATTGATTATATATTGAACATTTCAGCACCAAAAATTTAGCAATTAACACCTGGGGTACTTACAATTAGACCCTTACAATCACTGTGAAGTCACTGTCATTCTTTGGGGACTTACCAAATCTCCCCCCCTTTTTTCTCATTCTTTCCTACTTAGTGTTTACAAGGCATACTGCTAGATGACCATGGGATTATAAGGACACACAGAGATAGTACCTGCGATGAAGGAGTTTTCTATTAACTAGAGAAACCTACAAGCAATCCCTAAATGAGGAGAAACAAAACACAAAACAAGTAAATTTTGACTTTGGTTAGGAAGGGACAGTATCTAGAGAATGATTGAGCCCAAGAGATCATAGCAGGATGTGCAAAAGTGGCTTATAGGATAGTGAACAGATTTACACAAGAGGATGGTGTGAGGCAGGGACCCAAGTGGTGAAAATTACAAACCTATTCTAAATACTGCAAATCTTAAAATGTAACTAACTCTCCATAATGGCACACTGTGTTTTCATACTTCACGCTACCACAATGCAACAGATTTTAAACTTTTTTAAAGCTGTGTGTGATAATAGCCAACACACTTATCATATGCACAGTAGTCTCCAAGGCAGGACTTGCACCAGGTAATGTGATGTCAGAGCCCTGTTTGACCAGCCATAAGGCTGTCTTTGTTAAGGTTGCTTTTTTGAGCAATTACAGAACTTTGCCCAAGTAAGTAATTGGAGCATGTCTGAGTTATCTACTGATCTCACTGTCAGTGACACAGCGGTAACATCTCAAGGGCTTCTGGAATCATTCTGCCTCCACAAACCCACCTTCAGCGTGTCCGTAAAGTTCATGTGCGAGCTACTATGTTAAACTATCTAAACGGCACATGAGCTTTCTGTCCACCCTGTATAATTTGAAAATTAAAAAAAAATACAAAAACAGAAAACAATAGAGACTGACCCTGTTGGGACACAGTGAAAGGGAAAGGGGAGCAGAACACGACACTGGGAGAGGAGCTACACGGGTGGAAGGCAGGTACAGGCAACCACACGGTGAGGCCAAAAAGGCAGCACGAGAATACATTTAAAGGAGTTTGAAAGAAAATGAGATCATGGAAATTGAGGCAAAGAGAAAACAGACATATAAAGAAGTGATAGAAAGCAGTAGTTTTTAAAAAATAAGGCTATTCTTCCCCCCCGAAAAGGATATATTTAATACTTTGTGGTACAGATTGTATTTTTGCAACTAGTGAGATATCAATGGCATGTTTCTCTTGAAAAAAACCAGTATTTACAAATCCCAGACTATAACTTACTGTCATAGTCACATACGGACACAGTGTTATTTCAGGCTTAACACTCTCACAATGCTGAACAGATCTGTAATCTTTTTTTTAAAGCTGCGTACAGTAACAGTGATAATAGCTAACGTATTTGTCACACACACAGTCAGTCTCAAAGGCAAAACTCGAACTGATTTGATGTCAGCACCCTTGTATTACCAGTCAAAGGGCATCTATGTTAGAGACTGAGATTTTGAGGGGTTACAATCCTATCTAGACGTCCACACCTGAATACCCAGACACAATTATCTTAAGAATATGGCTAATTTAAGAATTGTTTTGTCCTTTTGATATCTATTTCTCAATGACTCCTACAGACAAAGCTAATAAAAAATGAGAAGATGTTAAGATTGAACCAGGGATAGATTTTTAGAGGGTTAGGGGCTTCGTGTCATTAACAAAATTTCACACTTCTGGGAAAGAGAGTCCGTATTTGTGGAGTAATATAATTCAAATTCTATTCAGCCTATCAGACTTTAAAGTAATATCTTGGTTTCCAGAAAGAAAGCCATTGTTTCTAACGACATAATGTTCATCACTGCTTTTGATTTCTGCTATTCATTTGTAAGCCATATATGCTATAAAAATGATTTAGCATAGTCATAAATTATAACACATGTGACATTGGAGGAAATGTTTACTGCAATTATTTTGTGCTCTTCTTGCTATAACTTCTAAAGAGAATCTTCCAGGATTTCATTTGCTTTGGGGAACAATGAAAAAGAAAATTATCATAAATACTAGTTAATTATGACATATTTTGGCAATTAGATGGGAGAAGTCACAGGTGTATATTGGAGACTCCTTGTTGCCGTAATTCTTTGAGTATTTTTCACTGATTCTAGATTCTAAAAACAAAGGAAGAAATTTTAGTTTAGTGTTGCAAATGAATTAGTATTGAAAGTAAAAAAATTATCAGAAGTCCAGTACAAACACTTTTCTGAAAAGATTAAAAAGAATTACTTGGTACTTCTATTGCCAATAGATAGAAAAAAATATATCCTATTTTAAGCAGGTTTTAAATTAGCCAGAATGAAATTACTATATACTTTTCAGCATTAACAAAATGATGCCATTATTTCGTCACCTGTAGCTATCTAGAAATAACAAATTTAAGTGCATTGTTGTATAAAGTATTCAGCTTACATGTCTGGCAAATGCTTGCTTGTGTTTTCTATTACACCTTCCAATTGTAGGAAATAAAAAAAGGTTTCAAAAGATTGTCCCTGTTTAATTTAAAGCAGTCCATTTTCCCCATACATGTCAAAAGATTTGAATCTGATTTCTGAATTTTTGAAATAAGCATACTACCATATCAACCTACCTTATAAAATATAGTATCAGTTTCACGTTCATGAATTTTAAGACTATAGACTTTAACAATACCGCCTGGCAGAGGACTCGGGCTCCATTTCAGCCACACAAAATCTGAAGTGTAGTTGATTAGAGTCAAGTTTTGAGGAGGCGCTAAGGGCGCTGCAGGAAAAGACATCATAAAACTTACATTCATGAAACCTTCAGCATAAAAACAGACCATGGCTGTCTTGAAGACACTCGTTAAGAAAGATTTATAAAATGATCCTATTTTAACTGCAGAAAAAAATATAATCAGTGATTATATTTTTGCACTTGGAACACAGTAACTCCAAAGAAGCTTTAAACAGAAAGTGTAATTCTAAAGCTCGACATTTCAATTCCAAAGTTCTCCTAAATCAAAAGAAAAGGTTCAGCAGAGCAGATGGATGATCATGAGGCTGTTAGAAACAGTCAGATATCCTTTACTCTCCATGCTGTTCCTTAAAAGAGAGACAGAGCAAGAGGTGTGACAGGGAAACCGCTTGAAGAACCGTGGATCCGGCTTACCTGACTCGTCTGTGTAAAAGAAAAGAATACTGGAAGGACCGAGGCCTTTTATAGTTCTTGCGGCAGCAAAAAAACTATATAGTGTAAATGGTGAAAGTTCCTCCAATATTATATAGTTATCGGAAATAACGAGAGAATGATTTTCATTTGGTCCTTGTAAAAGTAAATCATAACTCATTATCACACCGTTTGGCTTTACTGGGGGATCCCACGATAAGAGGACTGAGGTAGAGGAAAGGTTTTTAAAAGTGTTGATGATTGGTGACGTCTCGGGGACTAGAAAAGAAAAAGAGAAGATGAAGTGAAACAAAAGTGAATTCGCGTGACAAAGAAGGGGCTTCTGCAATCATCGGGAGAAATAATTTTATCAGCACATTACTCTAATTTTAAGAAATGTAGAGCTTATTGTGTTTATTGAAAGGATAATTACTTGAGAAGAAACAGAATCTATATAACTATAAAAATAATGTTTCCAAGAAGAAAGCCATATAAATGGGAAGAACGACTATCTGCTAAGTAGGCAACGAAAGGGTCTGGCCTACCATCCTCTTCAGTTTTGATGTGGAGCTGAGCAGTATAGGCATCAGAGAATCCCTTTTCTGTTGATGGAGTGATTTTTAATATATAATCAGTATATTTTTCCAGATTGTCAAAATATATGCTTCGCTCATAGGTAACTAGAGGTGGTCTCACGTCGCCAGGAGTCTGCTGTAAGCTCAGTGAAACATGATAGAAGACTAGACCGTTTGGTTGAGCCGGTGGCACCCAGCTTACATTTACTGCAGTTGACGAAATAGACTCGTAAGTCAGGTTTCCAACAAGCCCTTCAGGTACTATGATAGGAAACGGGCAAAATAAAAAAATGATCAGTTACCCTATATAGAAATTCAGTTCACAAACTGAGTTTAGTTACTTAATTACATCGTTAGCTCTTAACCTCATTTCAATGCAGATGTGGTAAACATTTGCCCATTATAGAATATCTTCTAAATGATTGTTTTTAAAATAATTCAAAATAAATCCTGTCATCTTTAATATTTGTGAATGTTATTTCATATAATAATCTCCAGGCTTTTCTCTCCTACTACGCAGAGACTGGGTGTGTATATATACATATGAATGTGTGTATATATACTCTGAAATCAAAATATCCTGATAATTTACATCGTCTAAACTCTTTTTTTAGCTTTAGTTTCTTTCTTCTAAAAATTATCCTCATACACAGGAGGAAACTGAGGCTCATTAAGTAACTTCTCCAAGGTCATGTTGGTAGTTGGAAGACTTAATACTAACAGCTTTTACTTTCAAAATCATGAGCCATACAAACTAAATGTTTATAAGTAGAGAAATTACATATAAAAGTTCTAATTCTCAGACATTTAGTTATATTGCAACACTAGACTCTATTAATGTCAATTTATCATCTACCTGGAGCAGTACAAAGCAAGCACCTACTATTCAAGGTGCAATTATATGTTGGCAAATACCTTGGGAGAGATCTGCATTTAAGGAATACCTAAAATGACACTGACCATAGACTGCACTAAAACATTTTTTGGTAAAGACTCTCCGAATGCACATTTTCACACATTTATCATCTCTGAATTCTTTTGATGGATTTGTCAATGATTCAAAGATCCTTTCAACACCAAGGTAGGCGTTCATTCCCATGATTATAGTGTCTTTCAGTTTATGATCTCCAGATAATAAACGTGGAATTCTACACTCAGCAGAAGGTTAGGCACACCGTTTCTTAATAAGAGACTAATCTTTTCCAAAATAAACAAACAAATGGACAAAAGAAACAACTCCAGAGAAATGTGCGAGGATCCACTTATCATCGAATTCTGAAAGCTGACACCTAAGAAAACATCAAGAGCTCCAGACATTAATTTTCTGAACACTCAGCACAAACTGGATTCTTTGGAAGCTGCCAACAAGGAAATTCTGGATTTAAAAAAAAGAAAAGATACTCTGGATATATTAGTAAAATGCAGTAAGAATAAAAAATCTACATAGAGGCCTATGTGGATTCAACATCTGAAAAGGAAATAAGTTGCTAGAAATTTTTTTTAATTCTTAAAGCAAATGAATCAGCATGTTAACTATTAAAAAGTTCTATGTATGCAGAAGTTGTTTTCATGCCCATCACTGGATGGCTGTGACATCTTTCAAAGCACTAAAGGAATCGCAATTTTCATGAGTAGATAGTGGTGGTTTTCATGAATAGAAGACGTTGTTATTATTGCAATCATTTTATCACTATTATATTAAGTGCAATTTAAAACTCCTGTAATAAATAAAATATAGATTATGTACAAACATACAGAAATAGAAAAAGTTTCTGAAAGAATTATAAAGTTTTAAATTATCTTGTTAAAGGTTAGCAAATGCTTGTTGTTTACATACTGTCTTGATCTGTGTACACTTGAACTATGTCACTGCTTTTATTCCCATTTCCACATGAAGTACTTGCTGTTAACCAAAATGTATAGTGGCTGAATATTGCCAGTTTATCTATTATTGCAGATATGGCCATATTGTCAATGGTTACTTCATCGAGTGTAAAATTCTGCAAAATAAACATATTATTTTAAGTGTTCAGAATGTTATCTTTTAGTATGCACGAACATTTCAAAATAATTATCATCCATGAATTGATCATCTCGTTATTTTAATGTGTTCCTTCTTTAGAACAATCAACACAGAACGTAATTATTTTTATTGCAATAAGTAAACTGGAAATATGTCCGTACTAAGAGAAGAATAAATGGTAGTGCTTTTTATTACAAAGCCAATGCCCCAGCAACAACGAGTAAAACTCCAAGAGGAAAAGCTCCGAGCTAACAATGAAGGTCACGTGGCCAATGGAAACCCTGCAACTGTCCCGGGCAGGGTCAGTTTTCCTGATGAAGGGTTCAAGTAGTTTTCAAAGCATTGGCTGATTTTAAACAAGTTTGGGTTATTATGAAACTTTTCCTTTCTTTCTTCCACTAATGATGAAGGACTTACAAAAGTGTTTGCTCTTACAGTGAACCCCCAAAGTGACTATGATTTATCCCTCTGTGGGCTCTTTCTTCTACAATTATGGGGAGGAAAGGGAAGGCTGTTCGATTCTCAGTCTAATCTAGAGAGTTAGAGAAAGTTTTAAATCTTCTTGCCTAACTTCTGGTTATATTTGCCTCAAGGAATGTTCTGAATGTGAGGGAATTCTTGCAATCATTTCCTGACTCTCCAAAAGTTAAAAACAAAACACACAGCCAAATGAAATGAATTCAAAAATAAAGGAAAAATAGAGTTTTAAAAGCATGTAGGTAATTAATATGAATAACTTTGCTGAAATGTCCATCGATGCAATCATTCCAAACCTAATGAAGGTTCTGTAGACCCACATTCAAGCTCTGATGGTGTAATCCTGGATAAATCATCTAATCTCAAAGCTTCTTGTCCCTCAACTGTAAAATGGAAATAATGATCTCCACTCCACAGGCAACTTTTCTGATCCTTTTTGAGGATTAGATGACATGAAGCACATAAAGCAATTAATACCATGTCCAGCTTACAATAAAAAATAATAAATGTTAATTAGTTTTATTTAAAAGAATAACATAGGAAACGCAATTTGACTCAATTTATGTTTAGAATGGTTCTGAAATTGATCGACAAATTAAACTCAGCAAATTTGGGGGAGAAACAAAGAGTGAGTGTAATAAGAGATTTACTCCAATTTTGTGGTGACTTATTTAAGAACAGACAAGTTAAAGCAATTTAACAATCTCACACAAAATGTGATCCAAGTGTGATCCACGAACTGTAATATCTTCCACTAGGTCAACTTTATGCATGGGATGACTGGCTTACATAAACACAACTTACAAATACTAATGTGATCTTTTCGATGTCAATTTTAATTTCTGTTATAGAATTTATTCCAGTTACCTATGATCTTGATCACAAATAAGTAACACACAGTTTGAATCACCCCATAAATTCCTGCTGTGTGTTTGAATTAACATGCATAGACATGTAAGAAACTTACAAAATTATATTAATTAATTATCCAGATGATCATTTATCTATTATTTTTGCCCAAAACAAATTAAAATCTTAACCCTTATCATATATAATATATGCAATATAATATATATAAATACAGTGAGAAGGTATTTAGCAAAACCCTTTTAAATTTGGTTAATTAACCAATATTCATTTATCACTTTTTATATAGAACATTGCGCTAGGCACCTGGAAGAGACAGCACAGAAGTAGGCACAAATAAAAACGGAGAAAAGTTAATATGTATCCAAAGCTCAAAATGAAACAACCACATAAAGAACCAAATAGATTGTCAAGTAGCAGCAAAAGAATGTAATACCCCCAGATAAAAAGAAACATCACTTCAATACACACTCAAATGCTCCATAATGATAACCACATACTGAAAATAATGATGGTCTATTGCAACGATTTTATATTATTGAAATTAAAATATTTATTGAGCATTGAACCTATGCCAGGGAACTTCAGGGTAAATAAAGACAAATGTCCTACAACCCTCTTCTTCAAGGTGTTTGCAAAGGCACAAGGAAGCTACGACAGGCAGCGGATATCTGGAAAAAAGGGGGAATGTCACATGGCAGACCTGGGCGACTCCACAGAGTTCTGCAGGGAGAGGAAAGAGGAAAAGGAACGCTAATAATGCCGCACACCTAGTCTGCTGTATAATTTCCATTTTGAGAATTTGGTCTCTTGTATCCATCCAAAATAGAAAACTAAGTCGTGAAGATATTGATGCTATTTTTAACATTCACTACAGGAATGAATGAAAGCACGGATGAATTTCCAGCAATATGAGACGATACTTCTGCAATGTTTTAACATCATTAGCCCGTGCCCCCTCGCAGCTGTCACACTTAAAAGCATTCTTAAGATTATTTAATAAAAGATAACATGTTCTGAGACAGGAATTGCAGAGGGGATCATGTTACACAGCAAGGTTTGAATAAGTAGAAGATCATATTGAAACCACACTTAGATGCTTAGGTTTTGTTATTTAAAGGTAGATGGAGCAAACCAAAATATAATCACGTAGAAGCCACGCATAAATTGCTTTACTATTGTTTTTGAATGACTGAAATAATTTTGCTATGTTTTTGAGAAAGGCAAGAAACATCTCACATCTGAATGACTTCTATTAACATATTAAGTTTATAAACAACATTCTGGTAAAATATAAATTGCCTCACTAGTTCCCATTTCTCTTCCCCAAACAAAGCGAAAGCAAGAAGAAAACTGCTTGAGATACAGAGTAAAATAAAACTGGATTTTTCTTTTACCTCCTGCTCTTGAGGCATGTGTATAAAAAAAATCTATAATTACATGTCTATCGCGATATCTACATGCCTTTTTAAAAGTAGTTTTCCTTTTGGCATGACGTTTTAAGTGGTCACACTCATATATTCGGAGGGAGAATGTGAACACGAAAGCAGCCTCTGGACTTGGTTTTACTCTCTTCTGGGTTAGCCCCGGGACAGCTGGCAGAGTTCTGCCCTGTTCATTAGCCTGTGCTGCGCTGGCCTTAGTCACAGCCGTCCTCACGCACAGGAACTAAGCCATAAAGGTGGGTTCAGGTTAGGGAACTTGTGGGGATTAGGTAACTCAAAATTTCTCAAAGTTCTCTCTATTTCCCTTTTACTTAAAACAGCGGTTCTCAATCCGTGGGTCGTGACCCCTTTGGGGGTATCCTGCAAAGATATTTACATTACGATTCATAACAGTAGCAAAATTACAGTTGTGAAGTAGCAACGAAAATAATTTTGTGGTTGGGGGTCACCACAACATGAGGAACTCTATTAAAGGGTGGCGGAATAAGGAAGGTAGAGAACCACTGACTTAAAAGGATACCAAGAAATAAGAATTGCCCAAGTCACAATCCAAAAGCAATTTTCACCAGTAAGGTGTATATTCTGTAAATTGCAATATTTCTTCTAAATTCCTGTGTTTCAAATTATGTTCCAGCTCTCCCCATCTTTGATTCAGTCACGATCACTACAATTTTCTCCTTTTCATATGTTAGAGTGCTCTAAAACATTTAATTTGGAGAAATAAAATTCTGCTGAACATTGAAGATATTTCTCTAAATTATATGCATTTTAGCTACTTTCATAGCCATCGTCACTCGCCCAGCAAGTGCCCAACTGCAAACTGGGTGAGCCTGAAACCACCTATACCATGAACTGAAGAACCACATTTACAGTTGTTTTTGTTATATCTGATACTAAGTAATAATGAAGGCTATTATTATTATTTTAACAGTAAAAACCATTCCTACTGACAAGAACATTTTTTCCTTTTCTTTTTCTTTTTTTTGGCCTGGGCTGGGTTTGAACCGTCCACCTCTGGTATATGGGGCCGGCACCCTACCCTTTTGAGCCACAGGCACTGCCCCCTTTTTTTTTTTTTTTTTTTTTTTTAGATAGAGACTCACTTTGTTGCCCTCAGTAGAGTGCTGTAGCATCATAGCTCACAGCAACCTCTAACACTTGGGCTCAAATGATTCTCTTGCCTCAGTCTCCCAAGTATCTGGGATTATAGCCACCCAGGACAACACCTGGCTATTTTTAGAAGCAGGGTCTTGTTCTGGCTCAGTCTAGTCTCCAACCTGTGAGCTCAGGCAATCTATCTGCCTCAGCCTCCCAGAGTGCAGGGATTACAGGCATGAGTCACTGTGCCAGCCACGTTTTCTTAATTGAAGAAAAACGTGTAAACATGCCAAACACTAAAACTATTTCTATTGCAATCAAAGTGAACCTACAGCTAATAAATAACTATGAAGAATGACCAGCACTTTAGAGAACACTTCTAGGAGGAAGTAGAATTGAGGGACATTTTAAATATACAGAATTTAAAAGAGATGGCAGCTTCATGGTTATTAATATTAACACTTGTGAAACTAAAATAGACGTGTGTGTGTGTGTGTGTAGAGAGAGAGAGAAAGATTAAAATGTAGCTGACATTTCTCCATCATATGTTTCTATGTCAGTGGGAGTTTTATAAAATACAACTGTGTATAATCAGCAATATAAAGTAACTGATTTACCATGGCGAGTCTGCATGACCAACAAAAGTAAAGGATATAAATAAAGAACTAAAAGAAAATCTGGGTCTTACCTGCATAAAAGTACCGGAAGAATTTCTGTAGTAAACAGAATAGAATTGTATGATACCATTAGGTTTTAAAGGAGGTTTCCAATAGAGAATGATTGATGAAGAGCTGAGGTTTACATAATGAACGTCTTTGGGAGGGTCACTAGGAGCTATAAGACAAAAGAATGGGACAAATAAACTGCCTGCGGCTTCAAGGATGCCTGAAATACCCTGAATGTCACCTACATTTGTAAGTGAAGGTGATGACAATTGTTGCTCAAATAAAACTTAAACTAGAAATGACATCCATTTAGATACCAAAAATAAAAGTTAGGAAGCTCATGGACCATCCCTTTAACCCTCGCTGTAACAACATTCAAGCAGAGAACTGATGAGTGTCTTACTCATAACATACAGTCCCGACTCCAGAGCAGACCCACTGTCCTGGGTTTGAAAACAACATTATAACAAGTTTCCAAGATGAAATACATAACATGAAATTCCAATTTAACTTAGAATTTCTGTATTGAATAAGAAGGGTCATAGGAAAACAGAGAAGTGATTTCATGAACTTTATGGGGTCTCATTGCATTTCACATTGTGTGTCAAGTTCCCTGTTGAGTGAATTTGCAAATAGAACCTTATTTAATCCTCATAAGGACCCCATGAAGTACATAAGATATGGTTTCCATATACCCACGGGAAATTGAGGCACAGAGAGATTCATTTTTCCAACATCACACAACTAGAAACTGACCAAGACGAAATTTTGTATCCAATTGATTCTGGATGTTAGACTTACTATACATTGGGATATTGATACCTTTTTCTGAGAACAACATTCTTTTAAAGTGCTTATTACATCCTTGGGAACTCACCCCCCTCTGGTGTTCGAAAGTGAAGGATACTGCTTCTTGTTTTCCCATCCCCAAACCTGGTACTCGCTGTCACGTAGGCATTATATTCAATGTTGTAATCCAAATCTGACAACTCCAGTGACGTTTCAGTTACATTAATAGTTTTTAATGATGATCTATCCCTGAGAGAAATAAAAGGAATATCGTCTGTATAAACAACTTTTAAACTGAAAGTTAACACATACTTTTTGTGCACATTTACATTAAAATAAGCAACATTAAGGTACAGAAATATATTAATCCAGATTAATAGAACAAGACGCCACTTATCCCAAAATACTAGTAAATTTCAGAACACTTTAGTAAGTTAATTTATTTTCCTTTCAGTGATATTCAGGAACTCAATCAAGTTTCAATAAGAAGTTGATCATTAGAGTTAACTTGGACCACTTTTAATACAATTCCAGGAAAAATATGTATTGAAGTAATTACAGTATGCCCTTTGATAGGAATGTTTTAGATGTCCAAACATTTATTGTTTCTAAATGTGGGCCAAATCTTATTTAAACTATTAATTTATGAAATGAATCATCTTTTACTTATTGTATAAAGGTAATATTTACTCCAGACATAAATAAATAATATGTAAAAAGTAGTATCTAAAATAAGAAAATAAGGAGACTGTAGGATACCATAAATATATATACATATATATATATATTTTTTTTTTTTTTTTTTGAGACAGAGCCTCAAGCTATCCCCCTCACAGCAACCTCCAACTCCTGGGCTCAAGCAATTCTCCCGCCTCCACCTCCCAAGTAGCTGGGACTACAAGCGCCCGCCACAATGCCCAACTATTTTTTGGTTGCAGTCGTCATTGTTGTTTGGCGGGCCCAGGCTGGATTCGAACCTGCCAGCTCAGGAGTATGTGGCTGGCGCCTTAGCCGCTTGAGCCACAGGTACTGAGCCAATTTTTTAATCGAAATGAGATTGAAAATGATATATATCATGCAGGAAAGAAGAAAATAGATCTCACACCTCTCATGTATTCAAAATCTTTTTTTTTTGTCTTTTTTTAAAATTTTATTTCTTATAGCAGAACTGTGTACATTAATGCAATCTATTCAAAATCGTGAAAGTATTTAAAATGTGAGTCCAGAAAAGGAAACAAGTCAGGTAGATATTGACTCAAAACTCTCCACACAAGCACCAATCTCCTAGAAAGATGAAAAAAAAAAGAATCTAAAGAGCAAACTGTTGCTAAGAAATAGGGCACTGAATATAAAATACAGCCCGAGTTTATCTTGGCCATGTCTGTTCAGCTTCCACAGTTTGAACTGGGTATAGATAAGTGTATAAAAGCAAAGAATGAACATGGACAGGGTGGCGTTGAAAAATACACGTTTTTAAATTCAGATTTTAAGAAGAATAAAAGGATTTAGATAAGGGAATATGATTGATATCACAGAAAAAGTCTATGTTTTATGTAATCCTATATCTTTCTTCTTCAGCTACACATGGCACCCAAGAAGTAAGTGGATATTCCCTCTGAACGGGAACTGCTCTTTCTTTACTACTGAAATATCTGAAGCCTGGAATCATTAAACGGAATAATAGATTTTAAGTGATTTAAGGCTCTCCACGAGATACATTTCACCCGTGGTTGTCTATTACAGAAGCACCAATCACTCCAAATACACATATCTGAAAAACAGTTGGAAAGCTTACCACAGTGAGAAAAATACGGATTCAGAGTATGCGATTGGAGACAGGCAGGATTAGCCCGGCTATTGAGCAATTTGCAACAGCTTCAGTAGACATCCTCTTTCAGAGGCAGTCAGGAGGGCTCCCTTTGACTACATGGAGACCACAGGAGAGGGGCTTTTAAAACTCTTAGTGCTGTGGCTATTAATCTCCGAAAAGATGCCTTGTCATAGAAACTTTACCCAATTCCATATTCCTGTCATTGGTCACAGGTCGTCAGAATGCTATAGAACTTACTGATCCAACACCAAGCTCTGAAGTTATGAAATTTACTAAAATAATCTAATTGCATTACATGTTTTTTCAAATTGACTTTTCAAGCCTATTTTTCAATGCTATCTGCCATCTCCATATGGCTACCTCCCTGCCTTCATCTACGTAGCAAATCTTGTAGATAATTATCTGCCTACCCTAAGAAAAATCCAGATTATGTTTCATAGATAAGGCAGAATTAAGACAATTACCTAGAAACTGCAGATCAAAAATACACTTTGTCTCAAGTGTTTATTAAGTAAATATAATACTTCAGTAAGAAGCAGCTAATCTTTAGAAACTATCTTAGTAAGAAAGTTAATAATGCCCTTCAATTAGCAGATAGATGTACTTAGATATAGTTTCTAATCTGGTAGATACACTGGTTTACCTTCAGAGACAAAAAAGTGGGAACCAGAATTTTTTCAGATACCAATGTGTCTTATGTATCTGTTGGGGGTTAGGTTTGTTTTTCCATTGTAGTTTAGGATTGTGACTAACATTTGATGAATAAAGTAGAAAACTGTCTGAGCATAAACTTCGATTCAAGCAGTTTAGAATGTATGTTAGGTACAGAAGAAGCAGTTTGCGGCAAAACTGAGAAGCAAGGGGGAGGCAAGGGAGGGAGAGGGGACCTGTCAGTGCGGCTCAGCCTTGACCTTTCCTGCTCTGTTTTCAGAATGCAGGTGACACACATGAATCTCTCGTCTGAGGCGTGAGCTCTCTGCTCTCCACGAGATCTGTGAGCAAAACTGCAGCCCGGCGACTTGACTCTCTCTCAGATCTAAGAAATCCAATTCTGACACCGCTCTAATGACTGTTACTCTTGGTTTTAGCTGATTTGGTTTTTAAATCACAATGGAAAATAGAATGGAATTATTATATGTTCCATTATCAAGTTGTGTTTTCATTTAAGGCATATGGTCTCCTGTGTCCTAACTTTTTTTCTCTTATCATATATCTCCTCCCACCTTCTCCTGTGTCATTATACTCAAGACACAAAGGCCAGCTCACCATTGACCCTGCCAACCTTCTTGCTGCTACCACACCTGGTAAAATTAATTGAGATTCCATGTTCAACGAGGACAGACCCGGATATTTCAGCTACCTGTGTCAATAAATCCCTTTTTTGCTTGAGCCTATTTAAGGTGGTTCTAGTATTTGAAACTAAAAGTATCTCAACCATTATGAATATTGACCCAGTCCCATCTTTTCCATAGACCCTCATTTGCCTTGATCCTAAGTATTCCCACCATCCCCATCACTTCTCTGTGACAAGCTCTATTCTCTCCATACACAGATTCAACTGTATTAACCAATAATCCAACTGATTTGACACATGGAACAGCATAATTATCACCCTCTCGAAATAGATGTAGTTCATCAGTGACTGCAGACCAATATCAAGCCAGTGAGCGTTTTTAGAAAAAATATCCCTTCGGACTTGATCCAATAAGCTTAATTTTGTTATAATTCCCTAAATCTTTTTCACACATGCTGTTATCAAATTAAGACTTTCCTAATCCTATAAACACACTGTTTAGTTTTTAGAACAAAGGCCCATCATAATGCTTATTCTTCCTGATGCAGGAAATGTATAATTTGGGAGTAAGACAGATCTGGGTATGAATTCTGACTCTGGGAGCTTTATGTAACCTTCAGCAGGTCTTTAACCTTACAAAGACTCAGTCTCTACAATTGTAAACTGGGGGAAATGTTATTTACTTCATAGTATTTTTTGAAAACAAATAAGAAGAAATAAGAAAATACATGTAAGAAACATTTGTCTCCAAGTGGTAACTATTACACTTGCCCTCTGAGCTCTTTTCTTCACTTTTCTGAGATATTTTGTGCCACAAGTACATAATGTGGAGGAATAACAATCTCTTTCAGCTTTGTCCATTAAAAAGAAGAGAAAAAGACAAACAAAATCTAGATGACCCGATCCCTTGATAACTCAAAATCTAAGCGGGTAAAATAAATTACTAAAACATTGGCTTAAACAGGTTGTGGAGGGAAGCCTGTGAGTGACAGAGCAAATGCTTCAGTATTCAACTTCCCGGACTTCTGTTGGAGGGAATATGGCATAAGTATTCTGATGTTTGTAAGAAACACAGAAACCTGAAGTTTTACTGGATATATACTTATTTTTAAATGCTGACAATCAATTCAGAGTTTCTGAACTGTTTGCAAAGCATCAGTGGCCCACGGTAGCCTGTCCGTAACCTTGGCCCCCAAACTTCAGAGTGATTCATAGCAGCGACCAGCAGGAAGGGGCTGAGACAGAACTTTGGGCATCCCAGGAGAAACTTCCTATTAAACTCTAAAGGGCACCCCTGTTCTCATCTCCTCCCTCTTTTTTTTTTTTTCTTTGCAGTTTTTTGGCCAGGGCTGGGTTTGAACCCACCACCTCTGGCATATGGAGCTGGTGCCCTACTCCTTTGAGCCACAGGTGCTGCCCTCCTCCCTCTTTCTGTATTTATTTCTCTCATCTTCCCACTCTAGCCTCAACCCTCCATGTCTGTAATGCTACTTGTCAGACTCTGGCCAGTCATGCCTGCTGCCCCCAAGCCTTCACACGCAGCCTCCACCGAGACGCTCTCCCAACTCATTACTCTACCATCACTTTCATTCCAAAAAAGAAACAGAATTCAGGAAATCGAAATGGCCCCTCCCATCATGATTATTGATCACACTGTAGGCTCTGTTAGGTCATTTTTTATAGAATGAAAAATGTTTACAAAACTGGAAAAGACCAAGACTATGCCTATACTTTTTAGCTTAGCTTTTTGGCATAAAAGACAAGCTTTTAAGTTACTGAGGAAATTATTTGACCAGTGACATTTAATCAAGAGCTTCATTAGAATTGTGTCTTTCTAATATATTTCTCAGAAATTCTTTTTAATTATTTCACATATTTCTAATAACTGTAATATCATTTTATGGTTCTATATATTTCGTATCTCCTTACAGAGTTTAATGATTTGTTAGACTCACTGCTTTAGAATTACGTCTCATAATCATTGCTAAGAAGACTGAGAAACATTTCAAAGTCAAAGATTCATGTATAAGCTGGAATTTTCAGCAATTTTTGTCCACATCTTTTACCTGCATTAATAAGGGAATATCTTCTTTATCAATAAAAAATAAAAATACTGTTACATTT